TCATCGTGTCATTGTTCATCTCACTCAAACGTGATGACGCCATCACTTCTTTCCCGCTGTGCCATATTTTGAGCAAAATGTACAATTGACTCGACAACAATATTACAGAAATTCAAACCAAAATGGATCCTGAATGCCTCACGGGGAAGCAAACCAGGAAATCCATGGAAAAAAAAAATGACCATGCATTTCATCGGAAATTACATTTAATGATGAATAGTGGAGAATTGCCTTTGCAGTTCGGAATAATTTCTGCAGGGAACTTTTATTATGAATCTAATTGAAACTGGTTGACACCCAATTGAAAGGCGCACATCGACAAAACAACCATTTGTGCTCACAATCACACCGAGGGACAATTCAGAGTGTTCCATTAACCTGCCAAACATGTTTTTGGAATGTGGGAGGAAACCAGAGTACCCGGAGAAAAACCACACAGGCACATGGAGAATGTGCAAACTCCACACAGGAAGGCCAGAGCGGGAATCAAACCCTGCACCTCTGCAATCTAAGGCCGACGTGCTAAAAAGTCGCCTAGAAGTGCCTGGATTTGAACCCGGGTCCTTAAGAAATCAAACCTGCATCCTTGGCCTAAAAATACTAATATGAGCATTATTTAGAATGAAATGGAAAATATTATTTTAATTTCATTTTATGGAATAAGAAAGCAACATCTTTTTCAATTCATTCTTGAATAAAAGTGAATGAAATTAAGAAAATAAATGAAATTAAGTTGAAATAACAAGGTTCTTTTTTTTTTTAATGTAAATGTTAAAACTAATAATTAACAGTCACAATAAGTCTGATGATCATTTAATGTTATGTACTGCCATCAAGGCCCAAAACAGCCCACTTCATGATCCAACACATCTAATGCCGTCTTTTTCTGCCCAACCTTGAGCCAAGACCAAATATGTTCTCCCCTCAAAGTTGAAGCCATTGTTGCCACTTTGCGCTTGCCCTCAAATAATTAAATGCTGCATGGTCAAGATTTTAATGTGATACATCATGGCAGCACACTCACCACACAGTGTGCACGCATGTGTGCACTATTTCATTCCCTCCTTTCCATCCCTCCCCATTGGGGCAACGTCTCATGACACAATCAAAGATCAACATCCTATATTCCTTTATGCTCACACACGAACACGCGCTCGCACACGCACACACACACTTGATAAAGATGTGAGCATCATGCCCTCCTCCTCCTCCTCGTGCAACACAAGGAGACTGCACCGAACAGCAGGCAATTGACGTCTCCTGCATGACAGCGGCACAATATGCGCTCCCATCTCTGCAGGAGAGGAAGAGGAGGAAGAGGAGGACACACACACACAGACACACACACGCACACACACACATGCACGTACCTCCTTGACTTGTGCAGGCATGGTGGAACCTCCTTCCGCTCTCTCCTACAGATTGATGCATGAGGTGTCTCCTCCTCTTCTTCCTCCTTCACTCCTCTGCCTAATTCCTGCCTGTGAGCCTGTGAGGCAGTTCAAACATCATCCAGCCATCCAGTGGGCACACACACACACGCGCGCGCACACACACGCACACCCTCCCTGTCTGCTGCGCACCCTCCCTCACCCTCAGCAGCACACACACTTTGCAGGCAGACGCAAAGGCATGCACACATTTTGTCCAACACGACCACGGAAGAGGGTGGGGGTTTGGGGAGCCCCCCGCACCCCCCGCCTTGATGTGAGCTGCAGTTAATGTGTGCGCTATTAGCAAGGTGCTGAATCCACAGTGTGGAATGGCTCAGGGTGAGTGCAGGGAAAAAAAAACACCCTGCAATGTGCACACACACACACACACACGTGCACACATAATAGCAATCAAAACACACACACACACACACACACACACACACACACACACACACACACTTCCCGAAGGGCTCGCAAGCAGATGCAGCTGGCGCCCGGGAGATGCCCGCTCTAGTTTGGTTGCGAGGCAGCGAGGATGAAGGATAGCAACTCGTATCCACGCAGGAGGAAGGCAACTTGCACTAGAGTCATCCCCCACATATTTGCAGTTCACAAAAATCACAAACTCACCTATTTGCTTTTTTTTTTTAAATGCGGAATCTATCCTTAGTTATTCGCTGAATAACTCCCCTATTAGTGGTTTCCGTGGTCTTTCTTGCCTCAGCCAAACCACTGTCAGCCATTGGTGTTGATTGACTTAAGAATGGCCTGCTAGCTTAATGCTAACACATAATGGAAACATTATGTGTTAGCATTAACCCTCAAGAGAGTAAATCTCTATATCTGTAAATCTCTATACGGTATCTGCCACCTTTCTCTGTGATTCAGGGCCAAATCGACCCCTTTGTACAAATGCTCTTTGACATTTTGTGATTCTTCTCCTTTCACTGGAATGACAAAACACAGGTAATTGGCTGCGGTTTGCCTTCTGCTGCTCGCAGTCTGCACTGCACTACTCATCATCTGGCCCATCGAAACAAATTCTTTTGATAAGACGAAAAAAGCATATTAGAATTTGATCTATCCAGTGGCGGGCACTGAGTTTCGGGGGCCTTCAGTGAGGATTTAAGTGACCTAATCCACCTCCTCATAACACGATCACGTTGCAAAATAGCACACAAACACCATATAATAACGCATGGATTTAGAATTAAGAAAAAAAAAAGAGACCGAGGTATTTTGCCTCTTTGAGAATGAATACCATTTTTACTAAACCATGAAACACAGTTCACATTCACCTTCCAATACATCACCTCCAGACCTTCATACTACAACACAGCAGGAGACAATCAATATTTGTCAACATAAAACTAAAATCAATAATAAAACACCTCATACTTACCAGAGATGCTGATGCAGATGCAGCAGAACTCCTTTCTTTGCTCCTGCCTGTCTGTGTAAGTTAGCAGTAGCGCACATACCTGCTGCTCATAAATTGCCCCAAAAATCATAATTGGAAATATGAATACCATGGGCAGATTACATTTACATGGGAACACATAGAAGCTGAAATCTGACCAAAAAAAAACAAAAACAAAAACAAAAACATGGAGAAACGGCTTGAAGCCACACAGCCAGCCAAGACACATGTTATGAAATAAAGACAAAAGACGAATGAAAATCTAAATTATCTAGCTAGCTCCTTAGCTAGCTAGCTACTGAGCTAGCTAGCTAGTTAGCTAGCTAGCTGTCGTTCTATGTCTCTAGTATTGCATCGTAGGCTACTTAGTATCATCTGTCTCTAGTATCACATTGAGCTGCTTCTTATCAAATCGTATCATGTATAATATGCGTCTTACATCTATCGATCTATCCAGTATCATATTGTCTCAGATTGTGTTTATAGTGTCGGGTGAAACATAATAAAATCCTGCCAGTGAATGACTAAAGCAAAGTGCATATCATCAGTTGAATGGCGATGTAAAACCCACACAGACTCTGCAGGGTCTTTCTCATTCTTTTCTTTCCTCAGTGCAGATTTTGTCCTAATTAAACCAACACACACACGCACACAAAAAAACCCACACAAAGTGCCCCGCTCTGCTGTGTTCAGGCTGGCATGAAGAACTGAGGCTGACTCCAGTGAACACGAACACGAACACACACGGACACGCACACGCACAAGCACACACACACAAGCACGCAAAACAATCAGTGAGTGTGCACTTTCATATGAGGCCACTGCTGCATATTTATTAACACTGCAGAAGGTCACGGTTGGCCTTGAACGCACCAAACGGTCTCCCTGTACCTTTTAGGTTTGGGGGTGGGGGGGGGGGATATATATGACCGCTGTAAACTTGTTGGATCTTTTTGGGTGTTAATTGCGTTGATTTGAAAAACTGTGTAGCATCCAAACGAGCCTTTAATGCAGCGCCGTGTTGTTTGGTGTGAGAGAGGAGGAGTTGCCGGGGGGGGGG